ATTTGAGTTAATATCAGCAAAATCACATGCCAACAGAACAAAGTTGAACTGAAAGAAAACCAAGAAAAAAAGCCTCGAAAAAAAAACCACAATGTATATATTTAGACTGTACAACTATAAAATTACAGCATCTCCACCATTGACAAGATCTGTTTTTTTTTTAATTCACCTGTTTAAAAAAAAAAATCTTCCCTCATTAAATTTGAATTTTAATCTGATTATATTACATGTTATCTTGGAAAAATACTGCTATTCTTGCAAGATTAACTTTTTGTCCTGACATATCATTGTTAAATTAGTTTGTCTGAAAAAAATGCAACTTGATTTCTTACAACTCTCACCTCTCACATATGAATTTGTTATCGCCACTTCATAACTCCTCCCCCCCCAAAAAAATAGGAAACTTTTTCCATCTTATGGCATTTAGTGGCATGCATCATAGTTCTATTTAATTGGCATTGGGATGATGGTGTGAAGGGGGGGGGGGGGTTGAACAACAACTCCCCTGTAAGGGGTCCCTGGGCCTAAAAATCTGACAACCCCTGCCCCTGCACCCGTCGCCACTTTATAGAACAGCACGCTCTACTAGCGTTCCAAAGGTAACCTGGAATAAACATTCTTGGGGGTGGAAAAATGTCATCTTTGGAGCATTACTGCGGGAGGGGAGCAGCCTTTCATGAAAAGAAACGAGATTTCCTGAATGGAGAGCATTCCAAGGACGCCGGTGGTCTCGGCTTGCCAAGAAGCAAGACGACACATGCCGGAGGATCGTCTGCCAGGTAACACAAAGAGCTCTCATTTCCTCCTTTTATAACAACACACACACACACACACACACACACACACACACGCATGCACGCACACACACACACAAGCACACACACACACACACACACACACACACACACACACACAATAAAAGGCATACACAACCAAAAACTCAATTTGGTGAATCATTGGATTTCTACATGGCAAAATGTACTTTTGGGATTCCAAACCAGAGCTAAACCTTGACGGAAAGATCCGGCAAAACTGCGACTTTTATCCAGGTCAAGAAGGATTTTTGCAGATTTTCTGACGGACGTTACAGATCAAACCCAAAACGGAAATCTACTTGATTTACGTTGGTACATTTTCAGCACTGTCAATTTGATACGTTCTGTTTTCGAATAAAGGGACGTAAATGAAAGCATTTCGTTTAAATCAGAATCAACAATTAAAACAACAATAATCGAGAGATTACCTATAAACATGATTGTGAGTTGCATCCCTACTCGGTGTTACCGCTCTCCTGTCAATGCGGAATACAATTTCACGACGATTACAATAGGTTTTTTCCCTGGCTGTTCTGCGTGAAAGGTATTGACACATGTCGACGTAAACTCGAAACGTTTCCACCTTCTCAGGCATCACACTAGAGGTGGTGTGAAGTAACAAATGCCTGGACCAGGGTGCCAGGTTGAACACTGGACAGTCGCTTCTCCCTTGGACAACTCTGTTTACAGGTAAGCCCGTGTCAACACCACCCGTAGCACTTGGATGTGAAGCTTTATGATGGACAGTGTGAGAGGGCATTTTCCGTGGAAAATGACAAAAACAGACAGTTTTTACAGGAAATGTCACAACAACGATGAATTTCATCATTCCTTCTTCATTAAAGACGCAAGCAGCAATGATGTCTCCCCGACGTTATCGGTTCAGGGATCGCCATTGTGGGGGGATGAAAAACAAACAATGCCCAATTCTAACAATAATGTAATTCTATAATCAGATTGAAACTCAAAGGAGCTGTTGATTTATATTAAGCTTAACAGATTTAGACAATGCCACTCGGGTTCTGTTTAACTAATCGGGCCCAGGATTTACATTAAGTAAATGTGTCAGGAAATTGAGACAAGATTATCATTCTTTCTGTAAATACATGGACAGCGCAAGTGGCATAGCCCCCCCAAACCCCCATATCTGGCCTGCGACAAAATGATAAATCACGTACGTAAATCATGGTCTTCTAGTTTCACAAAACCGGGGTACGAGATATGGTCTGCATTTTTGGTTGCCAATCCTTCCTCTAAAAGCGTCTGACAAATACTTGAACAATTATTTACTCGCTTCCAATTTCAAAACTAGTTATCCATCAAGTTGATGTCTAAATGTGAAAATATAAGGTGATCATACATTAGTATGGGATCACAGACATGACGCATCCTCTGAGGGAAACCATAACGCCGATGTGGCTTGCGACAAAAATGCGCTCGACACCTTTGATGTGCAAGATAAAGAACATACTTTGAGGAACATTCTTGTTTGGTGGTTTGCCATGACATTTATTCAAATGTAAAAATGTGATTACATTCAACAAAGGTTAGAAAACACTGTCAGCGTGGATTCATGGACACACACACACACAGACACACACACACACACACACACACACACACACACACACACACACACGTGTAAACTGATCCTAATACAGCTCTTGAAGTTTGATACTTGCCTGGGGATCCTCCATGCAGACACACACGCACACACACCCACCCGAGAGATCATCCATATCCTATTACTTGCTCGCAAACACACACCCAAACAGACACACACACTCAGATTTTTGTTGTTGCTCTTATTTTGTGATGCCTGCATATCTTAATTGCGCCACACCACACTTTCTTTACTGCATCCTAACAACATGGTGACTTTGGAATAGTCTGTGAGAGCACAGATGTTAGCGGTCGATATCGAGGACATTGTGTTCTGTTTGGAGCAATGCTGAAAAAGATATCGACAAACCAATTTTGACGCAGGACAGCATGTTCCCTTTTAATCCTTGAAGGCAGAAGCTGAGAATGTGATCATGTTAGGCCAAGAATGCAAGCGGAAAATGACTGAGGTGCGCAACTCGTCAACGACTTGAGACATGCTTGAAACCTGAACGTTAAAGACCTCAAACTCACGCTGTCGGGCAGAATCCCCGCATCTCCAAAATGACTACTTTTCAGGTAATTCAAAACCTCGCCCTAACGGGGGAAAAAAAGCCATCTCGCTTGAAATAGCGAACAGCCATTGTTCAAGTTGATACAATTTTTTGCCGTTGTATACTGTTGCGCAACATCAACACAACCACACACAAAAGCCACGTTCAATCACTAATTTAGTGCTGTCATTCATTAAAATGGTCGAGCACGTCGCCAGCACACCCATCCACATCAAAGTGCACACGACGACTGCCCTACCAGAAAAAAAAAAAGACTTGACTTTCACGTCACATGAGCCCAGCATCTTTGAAAACGCTTTTTCAATGGTCTTAGAGCCATGTGTGATGCAATAAATCAAAAAATGAGCCGACTAAGCAGTTTGAAAAATTAATCTACACCGATGCATTATTGCAATCACACTTTCAATCTTGAGGCCACATAATACTGCACGGCTCCCGCAGACTGACAAAATGACGGAGATTTACAACACTTACCATACAGTAAAAGAAGAAATTTTACAGATTTGTTATGAAGCTATTTTCAACACTTTAAATAATTGATAATGCATAAAAATAAGAGTTGAGGTTGGACCAACAGTATCGATATGTAAAAAAAAATATACACCATATTTTCACGACCATACGACGCACCATATTAAAAGGTGTAGTGTCATGTACGGGTGCTATTTCTGTATTTAACACATCCACAAGGCACATTATATTATTGGATGCAGGCACGGTAACACGTACGCTGGTTTAAAAAATACAGTAGCAAGTATGCATGCCAGCTTATGTTTTTAAAAAGGCAGCGGGAGCAAAACTGAACTCGGTTGTACTTTATTGAATGCTTTAACAATGTACTCAATATTTTTTTCGATTAATCCTCATCCTCAAATCTATCAAAGTCCTAATATTCTCATCTGAAATGAACAGCTGGGCAAGTTCTCCATCAAACACGCCAGGTTCCCTCGCGTCATTGTGACGCTCAGTCTCGCTGCTGTGCGGCTCCTCAGAAATGATGTCAGCTTTTTTGTGAACTCAAGCACAATCCATACACAAGTTTTGGCGGAACTTGCCCAGCGCTGCCTCCTGATCTTAGTAAAGCTGTGCTCACCATCGCTCACAAGTTCACTTTGACTCTGGCTGGAATTTTTTCTTTCGGCTTAATTAAAAATCACCATAGGTAGCCATTTCTGTCCATTACCATGGCAACCAAGCACAACAGTAATGGCCGACTTCACGCACCCCGTTGTGCGTATCACTACCGTGCTGGTCCCCTTCTTCTCTACAGTGTGGTTCACCGGGATGTCGAAAGTGAGCAGAACCTTGGTCATGTTAGTGACGTGGTCAGGCTTTATTGTGGTTGGTCGGCAATCTTTTTGTTAGTTTTTAAAAATGCAAACTTAGCTTGTCCCTCATCACTTGCCGTAGCCCAAGCGGTTATGTAGGAATGTGGGGATTGGTTAAGAGAACAGTTGGTAATGGATTACAGTGAAACTCCTCTACAACGAAACCTACATGGGCGAAAATACCCCCCAGTGTGAAAAAATCTTTATGCATGAACACCATTCCCACTCTCCTGCCCCCCATACAATGAAAAAAAACCCTGTTGTGTTATTCGAAATCTTTTTCCCTGCTCTTGCCTCGCAACGAGATTCACTACAACGAAGTCTAATCCAACAGTGACCTCTAACTGCTTCGTTCGGAAATGGCAACAGCAACCACCACACTGGTTTACACATGCGCAGTAGTACAGGAAGTATTTGTTATTGTTAGTTTCAGACACAGCAAGAACGTTGCATTGCTAAAATGGCTACAAAACGGACCTTTGGATGTCATGCAGCTAAGACAAGAAGAGCTGTGACGCTGGAAGAGAGCAAAAGTGATCAAAATGAAAGACGGAGGAAGCAAAATAAAAGACATTATCCAAGAAATTGATGAAAGTGAAAGTGAATGCTGATCGTAAATTTCGCCATTTCTTTTCTTTTTTTTTTTCTTTCTACACTGACTATATGAAGTATAGTGGTAAGTCACATCAATTAGCAGTCACACAGAATCCAACGTGTGAAGAAGCCAGACAATCCTACAGTCAGATATCTATTAAACTCTCTTAAACAAACACGACCACGCGTGATTGACCACCTGGTAAGCAATTCCTTTTCGTTTGTCTTACCGTAACGTAGAAGTTGTTCAATATAACCGTGTTTAACAGTGCCCACCAAAGGTAATGTCATTCAATTAGACAGCTAGCTAGATCGTTAGCATGCTAATAAGCTTCCAGTAAAAGTAATGTGGACATGTCCTGCAGGCAAGGTTCTGGAAAACTTTTCTAAATCTTTAACAACACAATCTGTGGAACTTGATTTTGGTGCCAAATGTTTATTTCAGTGCAGTATTTGTTTTATTCGATTGCAGTTAATTGAGATTACTTAGTACAGGTAGCCTAATGAAAGTGGGCCATGCACTATTAGCATTTATGCTAAGTCCAGTGTATTTACACTGTTTATTCTTGTGTTGATTAATGTACACCGTTTCAATGAAAAAAACAAACGTTTGCAATGAAATTATAGCAGTATTCATCTTTGTTGGTACATTTGGTCAAGACAATATTGTGTTACTCTATTTTAATTTTACATTGTTATCTGCCTGACAAAGGGTTTGCCCTAATCTATTGGTCTGACCAGCAAATGTTTTATAAAATTTTGTATATTTGAGGAAGAAAATAATATTCATTTGGCTCAGTACTTTCTGAGCCAAAATAAGTGCTGCCATTGTATTGTGTTTGCTTGTCTGGCTGACTTTTTGTCACTTTCCACTGTAGATGTTTACTAGTGGTGATAATGTCACAGAGAAGAGCCAGACTGAGCCCTGAATCTGAGGCTGCTCATTTTATTTTATCTGGAGTCAACAAGCCTTGTTTGAAAGCCCAGTGGATCAATGATTATAAAGGTATGCTATCAATGTACCTGCTATCTAATTCTTATGGCAACTGCACGCACATGACAAGAGCTGCAACCAAGCCTGTCACAGTGACAGATTTTTTTCGCACATTGTATTTACCCCAAAAATATCACAATAAACAACAGCATGTTTTTTTTTTTTTTTTAATGCCATTGATAATATTCATTCATTCATTTTCCGAACCGCTTGATCCTCACGAGGGTCACGGCGGGTGCTGGAGCCCATCCCAGCCGTCATTGGGCAGTAGGCGGGGGACACCCTGAATCGGTTGCCAGCCAATCGCAGGGCACACAGAGACGAACAACCATCCATGCTCACATTCACACCTAGGGACAATTTAGAGTGTTCAATCAGCCTACCATGCATGTTTTTGGAATGTGGGAGGAAACCGGAGTACCCGGAGAAAACCCACGCAGGCCCGGGGAGAACATGCAAACTCCACACAGGGAGGCCGGAGCTGGAATCGAACCCGGTACCTCTGCACTGTGAAGTCGACGCGCTAACCACTGGACTACCGGGCCGCCCGCCATTGATAATATTGGAGCAAAAATAATTAAAGTACTTTTTAAGAGAATGTTTAACAGCAATTATCCTTCAATTCTTGAGAATATTGTATTGCCATGTAGAACTAGAAATATCTTGGAATGAAAAAATAGAAACAGAAATTATTCGGCTTCTGTTAAAATATTGTGCTTCAACAACTATCACAATTCATAAAAATGCATACTATCTGTAATAGTAGAGGAAAAGTAGATGCCTTTATCCTCCTTCACAATGCCTGTTTTACCTGACTGAAGAAGGCTGTGGCAGCTGTTTGGCAAATCCACATTTTTATCAGCAATTTGTACTGCCCATCAAAAGTCTCTAGTTAGTTTAAAATTGAAAGAATGGTCACAGGAATTATGTATGTCATTATCATTATGACTATTATTGTTGATTGCTTAATTTTTACTTTAATCAGAATGCATCTTTTCTATGTGCAGTGGTATATATTGCTCAGTGGGATTTCTGATTGGAGATCGGAGGTGTGAAACGCCAGGACAGCTTGTAAAGAAATTAGATGAATCCTTTCCCTCCCACAATTGTGAGAGTTGCATTTGTATTTACAAAAAGAAAATAACAAAAATAGAAACGCACAGTTAATCGGATTAAAAAAAAAACATGCCATCCAACCATTTTCAAACCCATTTATATTAATAAGGGCCTGGCTGTGCTGCAGCCGATCCCAGCTGTCTTCGGACAGTAGGCAGGGTTCAACTTGAACTGGGTGCCAGCCAATCACAGGGCATACAGACAAACCACCATTCGCCCTCACAATCACACCGAGGGACAATTTAGTGTGTTCAATGAACGTACTACGTTGCATGTTTTTGGAATGTGGGAGGAAACCAAAGTAGTCGGAGAAAATCCATGCAGCCATGGGGAGAACTCCACACAAGAAGGCACTGTGAGGCGGACGTGGCAACCAGTCGCACACTGTGCAGCCGCATTAGGTTGCTTGTGACCAAAATAAAAACTATGGTGGTAATGCATTACCAACATTGCTGCCATAATTTTTTTGACCTTATTGCTCTTCTCTTTCTCTCCCTCAACCATATAATGCAGTTTGGAGTGGAATAGTGTAGAAACTTAAATTAGGATTCAAATTTTATCAATTGAGGAAAAATGGTAATTCACTTGACTTATGATGATCACTTTAGTCAAACTGTCGGTCAAACCTCTGGTATTTTTCTTTGCTATTCCATACATTCTGTTCAACTGATGGCAAGGAATGTAAACAACTCTGACGTAAGGAGCCACATTATTATTTTGTGCTGATACAAATTGCTGAAGAAAATTATCAGCGGTTCTGATAATTGTTTTTAGTTTTACATGGAATTATTTTGTTATCGCACCACTAAACATGTTTTTTTTTTCCCCTCTCTTTAAATTGTTATTTTTTGGTCTGCATGTATTTGTTAATATCTGATTAACTGCATTGTGTAAGCCTGATTTGGATTGTATTAATCGACATTTAAGTGTCAACTTTCCGTGTCCTAGGACGTGGTGTATTTACAAGTGAACCAATCGAAAAGGGGTCCTTCCTTTGTGGTTGAGTACCATGGAGAGTTAATCTCAAGCTATGAACGAGACAAGAGACAGAAAAAGTACACAGAGAAGCAAAATTGTTTCCTGTTTGATTTTGAATGGAAAGGAAGCACATGGTGGTAAGTCAAGATCTAGAAAAACATCATGTGGTTCTGTACAACATTGTAGTTTTACTGGAAAAACATTTCATGGTTCATTGTTCAATTTCAGCATTGATTCCTCCCATGAAGATGGTTCATTGGGTCGACTGGTCAATGATGCTCACAAAGGCCCAAACTGTAGAATGAAAAAGCTGACAATCCAGGATAAACCTCATCTTTACTTGTTTGCAATTGAAAATATCCAAGCAGGGAATGAAATAACCTTTGACTATGGAGATTCTCAGTGGGCATGGAGAGCACTGGTAAGTAATGCCTGAATATAGACAACCAGATCTAATAAGTAAATCATTATATTTCATAGGTGAGTGAAAGATCATTTTCATCAACAGTTTATTACCTTTTAAAAGTTAACACAAGTGTCTGTTTTAGAGGATTATTTGACATCAACAGAAATTCAAAGTCAGGAACAAGGACTCCACATTTTTCAGTCATTACATTGTTTTAGTCTGAAAGAGTATGTTTCGGGTGTTGTCTTTATGATTTGAACTCAGTCGTGTCTGTTGTCCTTAAATTGTTAGTTAACAGAGCTGTACAGTGGTAAGTACCATAAAGAGCCGCCTTGTGCTGTGAATGTGGTCACTGAAAAAAGTAGTCTAATTTATTCAAAAGTCATATAACTACGAAATATTTCTGACACTCTATGGTTGGTATAATGTTGCTTTTCATGATTTCAGTCATGCCCTCATACTTCTTCGGTTACTGTAGAGTACTTTAGAATATTTCTGATACTGTAATGTTGCTATGTTGCAGACACCAGGTGTTGGGATCCTGACTAAACCTTCTGGAGACCAAGAAGGGAGTGAGAGATCCACTTCATCCTTACAACAGGTTACTACGTTTTATCATTATATACTAGGTTTTAGTTTACAGCTTTCTTCAGAGATGAAAGTGGACTTCCCTGAAAATTCCGGAAAAAAACCCCAACACATATATATATATATATATGCAGCCTTTGTGGCTTCCGTTCTCGCCGAAATTTCGAAATCTCCGAGATATGGCGAGGCCATGAGAATGCGAGGCGAGGGTATTACTGTTGTGGCGACGCCACTCGGGCGAAGCGCGCCTCAGCAGTAGATAGTCCGCTGCTCTCTGCTGTGCGTGCGTCAGCGCGTACATGTACTCAAGCGCGTCTTTTGATTTCAACCAATCAGCGCCGACGCAACCGACGTCACACACCACAACAGCTAAGCTAAGCTAACCGAGACGACACTCGAAGTCGGACGGACACGTTTTTCTGCCAATCCGTGTGCTTCCCTTTTTGTCCAAATATATTTTTGACGACAACACCTGTCTTGTCCACGGTGTCTTTTATACGTTCCACTGGGGTTTAGCAAGTGTGTTCATAAAGAGACGAAAATCTCTTTACTGTTACTAGTGTTAGTACCTCAACATGGCTACGCTCGTGAAAGCAAAACAATGAACTCAAACGCGTGTTCGTTCAATGTTGTCAACTAATATCCAGATTAATTTTAGGCAATTTTTCCTCAATTCTCCGGAGAAATTTTCATTAAAATTTGAAAATCCGGAATTCCGCGAAAATCCGGAGGACTTTCATCTCTGTTTCTTTGACAAACGCAGGAGAAGTTATAAATCAGAAACATGGACTCGCCATGATTTCAGTCGTCATGTCCTCATATTTCTTTAGACCTGAAAAACCTGACTGTGTTTCAGGTGATATGATTTTTGTCTGAACCTAACTCTGGAGAGCCTGTATTCGAATGTCGCCATATTGCTGGTTCACAGAGCTGAACCGTGTTAACTTTCTATAGTGTGGTATATTAATCCCAAACCTTCCTATGAGCGATGTTCAATGAGAAATAATGTTTTTTCATTTATTAACTGGTCAGAATGAAGAATGCTGAATATTTTGACACCGTAATGTTGTTATGTTGCAGACACCAAGTGACGGGATCCTGACTGAACCTTCTGGAGACCAAGAAGGGAGTGAGAGATCCACTTCATCCTTACAACAGGTTACTACATCTTATCAGTATATACTAGGTTTGAGTTTACAGCTTTCTTTGACAAACACAGGAGAAGTTATAAATCAGAAACGTGGACTCTCCATGATTTCAGTTGTCATGTCCTCATATTTCTTTTGACCTGAAAAACCTGAGTGTGTTTCAGGTGACATGATTTTTGTCTGAACCTAACTCTGGAAAGCCTGTGCTCAAATGTCCCCATGTTGCTCGTTCACAGAGCTGAACCGTGTTAACTTTCTATAGTGTGGTATATTAATCCCAAACCCTCTAAAGATAGTTTAGAAGTCAGGAAAATGGACTCTTCAGGATTTCAGTCGTCATGTCCTCATATTTCTTTAGTCTGAAACACTTGAGTGTGTTTCAGTTAAATTCTTTGATATATTGTCTCCATATTGCTGCTTCAAGGAGCTGAACAGTGTTCGGATTCTTTAGTGTGGTACATTGGGCCCAGATCATCCTGTGTCAGGATTAATAATGCTGAACAAATATAAAATCTGTATACAGTAAATATTCTCCAGTGCGGACTCGTGTTTGCGCTGTCCAATTTGTCCTGATAACAGAAATTCCTCATTTGGGAAATGAGCATGGTCCATGTCCTTTATGAACCTGCAAGTATGTTGACAAAAATGCACGTGTAACAACACAATCAATAAAATACAAAAATATACTGTCCAAAAACTTTAGATAACAAAAACTGCAATACAGGTGTATCCAAAAAAAATCACAACAGTAAAATACGTACAGTATTTTAATGTTTATTTTTTTTCTGTCTTGGGAAAAAAATGTGTCTATTTTGGATTGTTTGGTTGGATGCATTCTTTGGTTTATGACAATGTTTGCCTGCGTGTCATACAGTTTTCTTGCTAGTTGCAAGTAACTGTCCCGTTGATCACCGATGTCTGGTAATTC